TGCTCGTTACATTCAGTGGCAGAAACTAAAGGACCTGAACATGATCAACTGTATTTCACAGAAGTCACCCGTGAGATGTTTAGACCCGTACTGTCTACAAAACCTGTTGTAAATAACAAAACACTTAAAATGACCTGTTGTCTCACCATTTTTTGAAATAAAGTGTCTTCCACTCTGTGTGCATAACTGCAATATTGTTATAGGCTGCAATCGTGAAGGGGGGGAATTCAGCAGCATTACCAGAAAAGCTAATCTGGAAATGGCACAGGTTTTATATCTGAAAGGGGTTACAGACTACTGTGGGAAGCTAAAGCACAAGGACACACAGAGACTAGGGATGTGAATTTCGGCAAAATCTTTTGACTGATGACCAACCACTACTAGGTGATTAATCGTTAATCGACAAGCCTAAAACTATGATAAAAATCTAACATATCTAAAAGCTTTTAAGTATTACTGGATGAAATAACACAGCCTAACATAACAGATATGACTAACATAACGTGGTCTATTTACCACGTTAACCTAAGTTGACAAAATATATGGCTTGACTGGAGCTGGCCTTAGGTTCATATGCATAGCTTAATCAACAACCAACGTAAAGCCAGTATTTTGCGACTTTGTCATGGGACTAGCTACACAGGCTAATTGTTAAAAACCACATTTGCAGGGTATAGCTTAAAGCTACTCAACAGAACCAAGAAGACGTTAAAGATGTTTGTAGTTAGGCCTGGCCAACAGAGCGATGTAATCGGATATTGCAGAGTAACCCAATGCCTATGCTTAAAAGGCGATAATTGCCATTTAGGAAAACTGACGTAGAACTAGAGAGAACTAGTTTACCGTTAAAATAGCTTGCTAAATAAGTACATATGTTTTGTCCACTTTGACTATTAAAACATTGGGCTATTATAGGGCCTTTAAAAGTCACTATGAAACTGAAAATTCACCACTGTCTCAGCTGTCAGTTTCCCCAGTGTGACACACCGTCCCACCATATTTTCCGTATAGTTTTAAGTGTCCCGGTGGTTCAGATGACTTAATGCAATACAACTCGCTTTTCCAAAAGCCTTTATAGCTAAACTCCAGAGTAACAGAGTGCTATAATAACGGAAAACACCTTGTTTTGGCTTTGTAACTCACTCATTAGGAGCATGTGTTGCTTTTATCCAGCAGAGTGCTATGAGCATGCAAGTTGACATGAATCCACACCAGAAGGAGCTCTTGAATGAGGCTTCTTCCGTCTTCAATTGACTGCATGTGGATGTCATGAGGAAGCGGCTTAAGAAACCCAATTGAAATCTAGACTTGCATTTCAGTATTTAGGTAATGCTTCTATATTTTTGAATAATCAGAAACAGTAGTACGCATCATTATACTAATGCTGTCCAAACCGTTAATAAGGTTAAACGTGGACTGATTAGGATTTATGTCATTGTTTACCACTTGCAGTCAACATCAGTCATTTAGTTTATTAACATCCATCATTTTCCTGGCTGGACATTAGATTTTTGGAGGTAAACAGCAACTTTTAAGTGTGTTGGCTTTGGCTGTTGGTCTTCCATGTCGTGTGGGAACACATGAAAAGCAGAACTAGCGCATCATACCTTGACATGCAGACACAAACTGCACAAACTCCATCTGCAACCTGATTGGTTAGATGCATTGTGTCGACTTAATTTGCATAAACGTCCACTCTGTTCAACTTTACGATGTGCTGGACTTGTCATGCATGGCACAGCCACGTCTGATGGAACTGAGGCTTCATATTGAAAACGAACGAGCAGCATAAATGTAGCCTAACATCTATTAAAATGACAAGTGAAGTAATTTTCAGAAGATGGGTTAGTATTAAATTATGTAATGTGATATTTATTAAAGATTTATTCAAATGATTGTTTTTTTAAATATTGTGCTAAATAATTTTAGATATTGCCCAGGCCTAGTTAGCCTCAAACAGCACTGTAGCATGTGAACATGACTAAGTTGGGCTACTAGAACAATACGCAACAACACAACTTGCTTCACAAAAAACAAACAAACAAACAAAAAACCAATAGCTGAATTCCAGGCTGACTCCACTGTAACGACAGAAAATTTTTTTGAATCAAGTACGTGTAAGTTTTCCAGCAAGGGGGAAACATTAGCATGCAAGTTAAATGAACCCACACCAGAAGGAGCTCATGCATGTTTACACTAGTAACTATTAAAGCAAGAGGTGAAGTAGATTTCCGATGCTGGACTACTGAGCATTTATTTATTGATTATATGAGTTTTATTGAAAATTTTCATTACAATTGTTTGTTTAAAAAAAAAAAAAACGCATATAAACTAAACACAGAACAGAAGCAGCTTGTTAGCTAGGGTCAAAAACGGTCCTCAAGTTTAACAAAAATCCTGTTCAAACATTGTTTAACGTAATTTAAAATAACTTTCTAACCAAAAAGCCTCAGCCGAACCTTTAAGTATTTGTCGGTTAGCGCTTAATCATTACCATCCCTAACAGGAACACTACAAATAAATACAGTGTATACCAACGTGGGGCTGTCCTTGGAGCATTTCATTTCCTGATTGACATTTACATCTACGGCATTTGGCAGACACTCTTATCCAGAGCAACTTACAGTTTGATCATTCTACACAGGTAGGCGAAGGCAGTGTTAGGAGTCTTGCCCAAGGACTCTTATTGATATAGTGTAGAGTGCTTGGACCCAAGTCTACAGTATAGACGGGGTAAGTGTTCCCACTACACTACACTACACCACCGTTGAGACAGTTACATACACAGAAAGGTGCTGGTAAGTGACGCATACGAGCCCTGAACTGTCCTGTACTCCGGCGCCTACACACTTCAGCCCAGCCATGAAGCTCTCCTCTGTCCTCTCCCCATTCGTTGCATATTTCTAAGGTGTTGCACTGGAGGCAGAAATGCAAAAAAGGCACAACGGCACAAAGTGGCCCTGTGTCACAGCGCCTTCACTCAACCTAACAGTCCAACATTTGTGCAAGAGGCCGCAGGGCCTTAGTCAAATGCATATTCAAATTCTTCTTAAGAGGAAAAAAGGCCTACTGTGATTGTCCTACTGGGTCTCGGCATTCAAATATTTAGGATATTAAAAAGGGGAAAAGTGCAGCAATCCAGTGTTATTTCACCCAACCCACTGAAAACAAGACCACAATCAGATCACGCAAAAACTAGTCGTAAATGTAACTTAATGTGACGAACATTATCAGTTACACATTCAAGTGCACCAGCTGGGTCTTTTTCCTTTTTTGCATAAGAGATTGTTTTATATGTTAAATGAAGTATTTCATGATAAATTGCTACCGCAAAGAAAACAATGAATAAGTCAGTGTTCAAGAAAAACAAATTGGTAAGTTTCGTCTTAACAAACTGACATAAATGACGTAAGTTTGGGTGGCGATTTTACTAGAACTGACAATTTCCACTTTCAGATATTCAGCTTCATTTTACTTCTGATTTACGTCCAATTTTGGGAGTATTTTAATGTTTTTGTGTTTTTGTTTTTGGTGCATTTTTTTAATGAAATTTAAGTTTCTACCGAAAGTTCTGTCAAAAATACCTCCAACTGGCAAAAATTTAAGCACCCCTGGTCAAAAGACGTTTTGTTGATTTTCTAAGTAAAAATAAGTTAACATGCCCTTCAGAGAACACACTTCTGAATATTTACTGTTCGCTGAGTTTAACAGACTGAAAAAAATGGTCTGTGTAAAAGTTAGATTTTGTTCTTTTTCCAAAATTTTAGTCTCATCAAATAGAAATTGTGCACCAAAATTAGCAAAGAAAGACACATTTAAGTGTGTTCAACTTATTTTCATTTAAAATGAAGAAAACTGTTTAAATGTTTGCATCCAATGAGAGCACAAGAAGTTTTAGACACTGTAATGGCTGCAGTATGCATGGCTGATGTACGTCCTCACTTTAATTGATGTCGGAACCTGATGACGTTATTATTTTTAACTGTTTCCACGCTGGGGATTGTACGAGACCAGTTCTGTGCCCCATTTAAAACCACTACTGAGTTCAGCTTGTTCAGAATACTGCAGCCAGAGAACCAACACATCCAAAAAGAACATATTCCATCTGTTTTAGCATCATTACCCAGCGGTCTGATTCATTTGGAACTGATTTTAAGATTCTTTAGCTGGTTTTTAAAGCTGAAGCTTCAGCACATTCACACATTTCAGAATCCCTGACTGACTGTGTTCCAGATTGGCTTCTAAAGCTGAAGTGCTGCTTTATTGGATGTTCCCAGAATGAAGCATTAAAAAACTGGAGAAGCCACCGTCTGTTACTACGCACTGAAGATCTAGAACTCTCAAGCTATTAGTGTTCATCAGGCACCTACACCTACTAGCTATTAAAAAAAAAGTCTATTAGTTCATACATAAAATATGTATAACAAATGTTTATATATTTAGAATATATAAATTCAATATTTGTATTTATTTAGAATCTTTTACTGTTTAAACTTTCATTTTTATTCCATTTTCTTTCTAAATCAGTGCTTTTCTCTTTCTTTTTACTTTATTAAACATTTCATTTTATTAGTTTTATTTTATTTAGTTTTTTTTTTAAACATTTGTGGAATTCCCCTTTTGAGTAAACATTCCAATAAACTCACTCGCTGCACTACTGAACCAGCATAGTAGCCTATCAGATCAAACTGTTCAGCTAGTAAGAACCATTTAGCCGCAGGGACACTTTGCAGTGCTCACTACTGAACTGGCTTTCTAACCTAAAAGTGTCTAAATTTTTACTCATTTTTACCCAAAACAAAAGCTGCAATGCTGTAATCATGCAATATGACTTAAAACTCACTGTCTGACACTGGAAACTCAAATCATGAATGAGGATGTGTAAAATAAAGTGACGCTGAAGCGAAATCAAATGATGAAGACATGGAGCTGCGCAGGCGATTCTTTTCTCCTTACGTTTAAGACACGAGCGCCTTGAGCGCCACAGATTAAGAGCAGTGTTTGTTTCTTAAAATAGCTTTTTATTTGTGAATTTACATTGATTAGCAGTACAATCTAAAGCAATTCCATTAGATAACAATTCATATACGTTTTTTCACAGGTCACATCGAGGCTTGGCTCACACTCGCATGCCAAAGCAACTCCTCTGGAATGGAGGACTACATGGAGAAAAGAAGCATTAGTTAACCAATTTAAAAAAAAAAAGTGCAAACGGTCGGAGGAAATGAAACAGAAAAGAAATAATGCACATTCTTTTAGTTGGGAGCCATTAACGCTCATAAAAGGATTAATAAAGTGTAAATCTCTGTAAACTAAACAAGAAAAACAGAAAAATACTGTGGTACAATATGAAGGGAGCAAAGACCTTTGCAAACAGAAAAGAAGGTATGAAAATGAAATAAAACTGAAGCGATAAAAAAGAAAACGAGCATCTGTTTTTGATCCCCAACCCTGCTTTTTCTAAACCTCTCCATTACATACCACCATGCCCAGACATGGTCAGACGTGAAGGTCCACCTAAAAAAAAGCTAACGTAGCTAAAAACAAACAGGAGCTAGCAGGGCACCAATGACTGGCAACTACCTGCACCATATGCTGTTAGCCATGTTAGCGTTTTGGACTGACCTGTTCCTTCAAACCTGCCCGTTCAAAGCTACATGCTTTTTACTTTATCTCCTTTTTTTTTTTTTAAGCCAAATCCTGACGAAACCCCGCCTCCTGCGCCAGAACTGGCCAACGGTTTATACTCGCACACGCCATTACAGTAGAATGCAGTAGAGTTTAAGCTACTAGCCAATCCTAGTGCAGGAGGCGGAGCCTGTCTTCACTTAAATGTTCCAAGAACGGTGAATAGCTCAAGAGTATGAGATACTAGCCAATCCTAGCAGAGGAGGCGGGGCTTGTCTTGACTAAAGCATTCTAGAATGGTGGAAAGTTCAATAGTATGAGCTACTAGCCAATCCTAGCACAGCAGGTGGGATTTGTCTTGACTGAAGCATTCTAGAATATCGGCCAGTTCAAGAGTATGAGATACTAGCCAATCCTAGTGCAGGAGGCGGGCTTGTCTCAAGTATTCCAGAAAGGTGGACAGTTCAATAGTATGAGCTACTAGCCAATCCTAGCACAGTAGGTGGGACTGAAGCATTCTAGAATATCGGCCAGTTCAAGAGTTACAAACCAATCCTGGTGCAGGAGGCGGGCTTGTATTCATTTAAGCATTCTAGAATATCAGAGAGTTCAAGGGTATGAGATACTAGCCAATCCTGGTGCCCGAAGAGGGACTTGACTCAGAGCATGCTAGAAAAGCCTAGGAGGCGGGGCTTGTTTCGAGTGAAACACTCTACACTAGCAAACTGTTTGAGCATACAAAACTACTAGCAGGCTGGGCTTGTCTTGAACTGACAGTGTGAACTACTAAGCTAATCCTAGCACCGGAGGCGGGGCCTGTCTCAATTGCAGCAGGGGGCGGGGCTTCTCTGAAAGTATTCTAAAATAGATTGTTTGGTAGCGTAGGAGGTGGGGCTTGTCTTGAATGAAGCATTCTGGAATCGCAGACTGCTCGGAGATTTGAACGACAGGCCAATCCTAGTGCAGGAGGCGGGGCTTGTCCTGATTAAAGCCTTCTAGAATAGCAGACTGCTTGAGTGTACAAAACTACTAACCTATCCTAGCACAGGAGGTGGAGCTTGTCTTCAACTAAGCATTCTAGAACCGCAGAGTTCGGGAGTGTGAACTACTAACGAGTCCTAGCACATGAGGACGGGCTTGTCTCAACAGAAGCATTCGAGGATAGTGGACTGCTTGAGTGAATAAACTACTGGACAAGCGTAGGAGGCGGGGCTTGTCTTGATTAAAGCTTTCTAGAATAGCGGACTGCTTGAACGTACAAAACTACTAGCCAATCCTAGCGCAGGAGGTGAGGCGTGTCTTCAGTGAAGCATTCTAGAACCAAACTGTTTGGGAGTATGAACTACTAGCTCAGGAGGCGAGGCGAGGCGAGGCTCGTCATGGGCAGGAAAAAAACAAAAAAACAAAACAAAAACAAACATCCCTCTCTCCACGTCTCTGTTTCACATTGCTCGCTGGGATTGAATGTCTCAAACTCTGAGACACCTGTGGAAACGTAGACTACTGCTTCAGCAGGGTTCAATCTGAAGTATATAATCCTGACACTATCCAGACGTTAGTTTAGGGAGTTTAGTAATTTTTTTTTTTTTAATTTTTATTTTAAGAAAGCTGCCTTGAGGCTCAGGGACTTTCTGAACTACATCTTGCGTCTTCATGATCATTTGGCTTTCAGCTTAAAACAACACGAGTACAAATCAGTCCCTTTTCACTCGTTTCGTCTTCTCCGGAAGAGTGAGAGCTGACCTTAGGTGACCAACACTAATGCCACAGGAACACAGCTGGGAGCCCATCGTTGGGCGACGTGACATACGGCTGTCATAAGGTCGACTTAAGAGTGTCATAATAGTCCTTCTGATTGGTAGAGCACTCTCAGGGCACAGGCCAACCATGCAGGCGTCTAGTTAACCCAGGGTTTTTCAAACTAGTCCTTGAATAACCCATGCCATTCCAATGGAATAAAACCTTTCCCGGGTTATCCTAGGACTAGTTTAAAAACAACAGGAGTTAAACGACCTTTGTCTTGCTATATCGAGAAATATATGGCTTTCAAACATGCCTTTAAAAACAAACAAAACTGCCATGCTGGCTTGGATTTCACTAGTGATATTTCCTTGCTCTGGGAATTAGGATTCTTTTTTAACTGTAATAAAAGCTACAAATATATATAGCATATCCTTTAGCATAACACAGATGAACCATAATCCCACTGCACTTGCCTTCCTCGTCTCTGTCCCTACCACGACCTGCTCCAGAAATCCACCTGCCTCCAACTTTCTGCAATCTCCCAGACGCCTTCAAAAGCTGAAATCATCTATATGCATTTATATATTTATATATATACATACATACACTACAATAAAAGTGCAGCACAAAAATAAAATATCATTATGTCATCACTCATCCAGTTTTTTTTAATATATTTGTGTGTTTAGTAATCAGAGTTATAATATAGCTGAGAAATCAAGCATCACTACATTATCAGCTGTAGAAACGTAGACTCTAGCAAAAAAAAAAATTAACAAAAACATGCTTAAACATTTGTATTCGCTGTAAAAGTGTAGAAATGAGTACAAAACTGAGCAGACAAATACCAAATTTTGTGTTTCTCAAAAAAAGAAATGAAAAAAAATTGGTTTCTAGAGATGAGCTGATGTCTAAAGGTAAAAGAATGAAATTACACTTCACTAAAACGTGATTGCTTTTCGGTGTTAACCTTCTGTGTTGTTTGGCAAGAGCAGTTCAATAGAGATTCTACACAGGATTATCAGACTAGTCAGTGCAGACGGACGCCTGTAGCCCAGACGGCACTGCTGCTCATCACTAGAGAAACAGAGACTGATTCAAATAAAACTGTTTAAAAGAAAGGGGGGAAAAAAACCCTGTAGAAAAATCCCAAAACAAGTGTCCAGTGTGTCTTGTGTCTCTGTTGTGTGGTTTAAACTGGGTAAACTCAACAGGAGAGGCAGAAACAAAGAGCATGGCGGCTATTTGAGGGGCTAAAAAAGGCTTGATATGCTAACAGGAGGAAGGTGGGAGGAGAAAGAAGGAAAAAACAAACAAAAACAAGTTTAACAGGACTTCTGCAGTACCTGCCCAGAGATGGTGTCCACCAGATGTTTACTGGTCTGTTTCCATGTATATGTGTATGTATATATATGTGTGTGTGTGTGTGTGTGTGTGTTCAGTCTACCAAAGCTGAGATGGATTCAAGGAAGAGCCAGTTTCCCAGGACTAATTCTCCCTGTTTTAAGCCCACATTTCATTTCACATATTCCGAAACGTGACACGCCTCTAGCAAAAGAAACGCGTGTGCAGTATCTCACGCCTGCCCTGTCCGCTTCCCTTCCCAAAACATGTGCCAAAATCTTTTTTTTTCAAATAACGATTTGTTAAAAATTCAAATAAAATCCAAAAAAAGGACATCATAAAAACAAAACTTAAAAACAAAAGGGTAAACAGACAGACAGGTAGACAGACAGACGGACAGACAGACAGACAGGTTGTGGGTGCTCTTCCCTCCCCGACAACCTTCTTAAGCTTCCACTTTCTCTTTCTTTTTATTCTTCTTCAGGAACGACGGGGTTCGGAACTTCTTCTTCTTCTTGTTGGGCGATTTGGAGGGCGAGCTTTCGGGCGACAGGGCCTCCTCGATCTTCTCCCCTGAGCGCACCGTGATCTCCACGCTCTCCACGCTGGTGGTCAGCTGACTCATGCGCTTGCTCAGCTCCTCCTCCTCGCCGTGGTCATCTTTGCCGTTCAGAAGGATGTTCGTGTGGTTCTCTGTGTGGAGAAGACGAGACCAAAATCAAACACTCATACAGTGCCGTTCTACAATTAGTGACGCTCTTTCTTGGAGCGACACCTTCTGCGTGCCATTAGCAGGAGATCTGGGACTCGCAGACGGCCTCTCGGCCAAGCGGCCTGCGAGGTCAGGACTAACTGGAATAATGCATCAGTTAAGGATGCATGTTCTGATGGATCTATGAGGACAATGACCACATTCTGCTTGGATCACCCATCACTGCCTTCTGTTTTGCTGAAAAACAGGGTCACGTAATACACTGTCATGGATTTTGTGTCACATTGTAATTAATAACATACTAAACTTCGTTTTTGATTAGAAAATCAGCACATTTGTTAATTAAAATTTGACTTAGCAGGACGTAATTTAACTGGACGACGCAAGGAACGTCTTTGTTAACAGCCACTGAAGAGGGGGAGTGTGCGTTCACGTCCGCTGAGGCGCCGGTACAGTGTAAACGCAGCGTAAGGCTTTGTTCACACAGCAGGTCAAAGTGGCCCAAATCCGATCTTCTTCTTCATAAGTGACGCAGATGTGTATCTGTGTGTCAGTGTGAACAGATAAACACACTGAATCTGATTCCGATTTGAGATGCTTATATGTGGTACTTCCGATACACAGCAACACGAATCAGTCTGAACAGCCAGATCGGAATTCCTGAAACTTTTACATCAATCCAACTCGACATTCTTCATAATTTCGCGCTGGTGAGACTCAAACAAGGCTGATGTTTCGGCCATTTTGAAAGAGAGAACGAGGCTGCAGCGTCAAAGAACAGTTAAAAGTATTAAAGCAAGTTTAACGAACCAAAGAAGGGACCGCGCCCTTTTTGCAGCGAGCTCGAACATATTGATGAGCCCAGCTGTCAGTCAATCAAGCTTCATGATGGCTCCTGTGATGCTGGTGAAGAGGTATCTGAAAGCTCCGGGAGCGACTGGCGTTCATTGGCAGTTATGATTGTTTACCTCTGTATGAGCCACGTGAAGCAACGTTAAGCAGTTTTTTTTCGCACGCAGGCCAGTTCAGGGAGCTGATCTGTTCAGACTGATGTCGCATACAGATCACATTTAAAAGATACAGCCAAAATTGGGCCACTTTTACCTGCTGTGTCTAAATCTAGCCTAAATCTACTACAACAGGCTTAGAGCAGCAAAATTTGTAGTGTAAACTTAAGTTAGTAAACAGCTTCTAGCTAATGCTAACTCTTCGGCACCAAGTCTAACTTTATTACAATGTTCTTTTTGCTGTTTCACAGCTTTTGAAGTTATTTTCAAATTAACCACCAGCTGTTCATCATTCTGGACCCATCTAAAATAACGTTTTCCTGCTCAACGTGTGACATCCTTTTCCAGCTCAGCTGAAAGCAGTTCAGACTGCATCCAAATCAGATTTCTTAAATCAGGTCTTTTGAGATGACTGTCCGTACTGTTATTTGCAAGTGATACGATCTGATTTGTATGTCCAGACATCGGCAGCCTGTGGTTAATGATGTTGCCGTGGTAACGATGTAGGCGTCAGTAACTACATAGCTACGCAGGTGATGTGGATTTCAAACGTGGATACAGAAGGAGATGGAGGTGCATCATCTCACCCTCAAACTCCTCAAAATTCTCTGGCATAAGCATGAATCTCTGGCGCTCTTCTTGAATCCCAGCACTTCTGTCACAGTGGATTTGACACGGTCGTTGTTTGCCGCTTTGCGAGTGGCGCAAAAGGGACTTTGAAATCTGATCTGAGCCTCCAGACTGAGACGCATCTGTTAAAATCCGATTCACACTTCAAAACACCTCCAAATGTGGTTTGATTCCAATTTTCAAAAATCAGATTTGATGTTTTTTTGCTGTCCAGACTAGGGCTGACCGATTTGTGGAAAATATCTAATCTCGATTTTTCCAACTAATATCGCGATTGCAATTGAAACTGCGATTTAAAAAAAAAAATAAAAAAATTGAGATTCAGGCCTGATTTGATTTGGCCAAAAACCCGATTCTCTAACTCACCCACAGGCAGTTCACAAACTCTTATTAGGTTCCGTTTCCCCTCTTAAAACTTAAAACAATTAATAAAGATGGTTCTTAAAACTTAATAAAGATGGTTCTTCAAGGGTTCTTTAGTAAAGACAGTTTTTCTATGTAGAACAATAAGGACTCAGCACCCCATTTGCATGCATAATAAGTTCTCTGCCTGGTGAAATGGTTCTTCAGATTGATGGAGAACGTGCTGTATATGGTTCAATATAGAACCTTTTCAAAAAGAGTTCTCTATAGGACCAAAATGTTCTTCTGTTGTTATAAGCTTGACATCAACAAGCAGCAAAGTAACAATACCAGAACCCTTTTTGACGCTATACAGAACCACATACAACACATTCTCCAATCTGAAGAGCCATTTCACCATGCAAAGAACTTTTTATGCATGCAAATGGGTCTGAGTGTTCATGGTTCTATATAGATTGACTCTTACTAAAGAACCATTTTTTTAAGAACCTTGAAGAACAATATTTTTAAGAGTGTAGGCTATAATCAAAAAAATTTCTTGCGATTTGAAAACTGCATTGTCTTAAATTGCGATTTCGATATAAAAACGATTAATCTTTCAGCCCTAATCCAAACTATAAAAATCCCACTGGATACAATCTGGATTTACCAAAAATCTGACCTGGGCTGGCGCTCTTAAAGTCCAAGAGACTGGTATTATACTTTACACACTAAGCCCACGTCCTTTCTATGCATTAAACACACTGTAACTGTTGTAGTGTAAAGTTTAATAAACATATAGGCAATACAGTTTTTCTCTAGACAATACAGTGCAAATGATGTGTGAACAGGGTCTGGTCCCATGATGAGCTCAAGTCTGGGTATCACAACTGAGTCAGATACCCGGTGAGATTGTGTAACTCACCTTTTGAAATGATGTAACCGCAGCCGTATGAGCGGGCCGGAAGCACTTTATCAGCCCACCGCCCACGGCTCCTTATTTCACTGGGCCGTTTTAACAGGCTCATAGCGCAGGGCTAAGAGCTGGAACTGAATTACTGCTCTCTACTCTAGCATCTAACTGCAGATAAACAATGATATACACACATCACTGTTTAATTATTGAGCCTTGTTTGTCAGAAGCCTTTGTTTGGGTCACTGAAAGCGCATGACGCCAGACGAAATGTCATGCCTGAGCTTCTCCCCTGAGGGCTTCTCTTTGTTCCCATGATTGGGTTATTCTAAGGCTATTGTTCAACCCTCCTGACTAACGGAAGCCTATAAGAGAGCCAGGTGATGTTATTGAGCACCAGCTTCCTGTGGTGTCTGCAACATCAGGCCATCTACGTCACCAGACGTATAGACGTTTAAAGAGCAGCACTGTTTCACAAGCCCTGCCTTCTCCGCTCTCCTTCAGGGGTTTTGGGTTGAGGGCCACTGGTTGCCATTCAGTCATCATGGGTGGGTTCAAACAGCCAGTAAATGAACAGAGCTACCACTAATATTAGTCTAGCTATGATTAAAATGCTTTTATAGGAATGTCTGTCCACTCGCCGGCTTTCTTAGCAATGCCCTGGACAGTTATTTTCAGGATACATTTTCTGCGCATGCTTTTATTAAAAGGGCAGGACTTTCTGTAATATGGTAGCTGTATTAGTTGGATGTGACTAGCTGTCCAGTGAACCGTCCTCCTCCTTTATAATGTCTTGGCAGCGATCGTTTGTCTTTGCGAGTTAATCTGTGTTACCTAAAGAAAACATGGTGTCCAATAAAAGGGGATTTCCAATAATTTTCCAAAACAGCTTTTGCACAATTCTATCACTGAGATGTAAACAAAGTCATTCAGATGCAAAATGGTTAATTGTAAATTAACTCACTGACTGATTTCTTCACAGTGGTGGTGATAGGAACCACCATTTCTCGAATTAGCCATTTTATTTAACATCTAAAATGACCTTCCATGTATCGCTACATCAGGAACGTATTTTAAAAATATATTTTATGACAAAACCTGTTCAAATCTATTGAAAGACGCTGTCACAGACATCAGACAGCAGTTTCATGTAATAACTTTCTGTGAGGGAGCTTTTAGAGGTGGATGTCTGGTTCCTATCACCACCGCTGTTTCAATTCTGGCTCAGTAAGCTTCTCTACAACTGAGCATTTCACACCAAACCACTCTGAATGACTGTTTAACCATTTAATTCTGCAGAATTAAATCTGTGGCATTTCTCCTTAAGCTGGGCTCCTATCATGGTTCATGATGTACTAACTCAGCTGGTGATAAGACATTATTCACATTACGGCACATGATAAAGCGGCACACAACGTTTTGGCTGCAGTGTCCTTGGGGTTATTCCTGAAAAAATGAGCTAACAGCAAGAGACCGCTTGAGATTTATACGAGAGAACCACCTTTAGCACGAATCCCACATCTTTCAGTCACGGACAGTCAACTACTGACACTCATTCTCTCTCTCTCTCTCACTCACACACACACACACACACACACACACACAGGCCCGTGTGCAGTGAAACGGTGCTCTACCTTCTTTAGCAGGTGTGTTTTGTGGTGACTGAGTTTGAGACACAGACTGGGAGAGCGTGGAAGCATCGTCAGACGTTAGCTGATCCTGCTCTTCCTCTGCAGGAGAGTGAGTGTGGGGGGAGGGGGGGAGAGAATTAGTGAACACAGAGACAGACAGACAGGCAGACAGTTAGAGAGGTAAACAGGTTAGAGGAAGACATGCAAAGGGGTCATTAGCTGGATTTCCGACTGTGCGTTTTAGTTAAAGAACACTTTCATTTGGCTGCTTTAATACTTTCATTTGTCTTGTTTTGCTTTAAATTTGCTTTATCAAATAAAAGTTAATGTTTCCATCAAATGAAAACGGCATAGTCATCATCTTTTGCTTGCTTTAATCGAGCAAATCGATAAAAAAAAATACAGAACACACAAAGAATAGATTAATATAGTCAAATTGATGCAGTTAACAAGTTAACAGTTGTCTATATATATATATATATAAATATATATATATATATATGTGTGTGTGTGTATCTCAGCTTGAGAGCCAAAGCTGGAAACATCAAAAGTGCACAGTGTCTTGGCTGATCAACAGCATTTGGCGTAAAGGGTAAAACTGTACGTTTAACTTCTGTGTGCTTAACATACATTTTAACTAGCATTACTGCAGTTAACAAGGTTATTTAATTCAGTCACTCATGAATAGTGAGCATTCACATTCAGGATGCCAACAGTCATTCATGCTGTATGCGTGAGCAGAGCACACAGACAGAAATTAGAGGAGTCATGTTATCAGGCATCGTAAATCAGGAGCTTCGGTGCAGAACTTCAAAAGCAGCCTGAGCCTGTAAGTCATTCATTCACATACATCTGATATACACCGATCAGGCACTGGACAGTGAGTGGACGCAGTGTTTAAAACTCCAGCAGCACTGCTGTGTCTGATCCACTCAGACCAGCGCAACACACACTAACACACCACCACCACGTCAGTGTTACTGCAGTGCTGAGAATGATCCACCACCCAAATAGTACCTGCTCTGTGAGGGTCCATGGGGGTCCTGACCACTGAAGAACAGGGTAAAAGGGGGCTAACAAAGTATGCAGAGAAACAGATGGACTACAGTCTGTAACTGTAGAACTACAAAGTGCACCTATATAGTAAGTGGAGCTGATAAAATGGACAATGAGCGTAGAAACAAGGAGGTGGTCATTATGTTATGCCTGATCGGTGTATATGTGGCCTAAAACGGGCTCCTGTGACCCCCGAGCGCAAGATTAGTGAGTGTAGCCGGGCTAAGCTGCGGACTGCTGTATTGATTCTGGCCTGTTTAAGACGCTAGGTCCTGCGGGCTATGTAATTAGCACTGACTGCTGAGAGAGTGAGTCACATGTGAGGGTTAACTCAGAAATCCTGCCTCAGCTCAGGCTCACTCAGAGAGAGGAGAGGGAGAGGAGGCAGGGAGAGGTACGTATGTGGTGTTGTTGAGTGGAAAAAGGGCACAATGTGTACGGTAGAGTGACTGGGAGTGTGTTGTGTGTTTATGTGACCATGGAATTTGTAAGAGGCAAAGCATAACTGTGCGATTAGCTCAGGGTGAAATATTGATTAGGCTTCTTTGAGGAGAAGATTCAGAGCATCGGGACACTTTTAATGATCCCATAAGTTCTAGTTACTTAAACCCAATTCACAATTCGGTCAGGGCTAATTTCCGTTTTACCAGCTGTACGAGTTCGAGTGTAGGTTAGTTATAGCCTAAGTGTAACTAAGTTAAGGTTAAAGCATTACTAAATCAAAACTACTTGTCATGTTGAGCTCAGACGTTACTAAATATTTACCCCTCCTTCAAATCAGGTGTAATAGTTAAGAAAACCAATGGAAACGACATAGAAAGCACAAAAAAGCCCAAAACATGGCCTGAATTTCATAGTAACTGATGCTTCTGATTTAAATCAAGGACATCTGAGGAAGCTTATAAGATGGAGCAGGTGTGGCAGATTACAGTTGGAATTAGACTCTGCAGGAAGGTGGATCTCCAGGACCAGCGTTGGTGACCACTGCTGTAGAGGATGTGTTTACTTATTTTCTCTTAGAAAATCTAAAATATATATATCATTTGGGGGTTTTAAACTTCTGCATATGACTGTACATGAATTCCACACACTTCGGTTATGTTATAGTCCACGGCTGCATTTAGAATAGCTCCTAAGTTTGAGGAGTGGGTGAACGAGGCCCTAAATAAATCTGGGGAGGAAGTTCAACACCACAGCAAATGAGCGATGAGTTGGGTTTAGCTTTATTTTAGGCTTTAGTTGATCAGCGGAGGGTGGATGCTTTTCTGTTTGGTACGATCAGCAATTCCACACTAATACACTGATAATAAACACTATCAGTTCTCAACATCACAATTTCTGACGCTGAACTTTGTAACAAAGCAAAGCACCATCAAGCTGTCTGCAATAACGCGTCTCTATTTGGGTTGTCCAGGTTCAGGTTTCAATACTGTCAGGCTTTGTCTCGAAGTTGCTGGTACAGGTCGGGAGCCCGTGTAGACCTCTATTGCATGATCCTACCAAGCGGGAAGGCTGAAGGCTAGCATGTGCTTCCTCGGAGAAACGTTAAGCTTCATCATATCTTTTGAAACTGCTGCTTACGCAACATCAGACAGCTCAACACGCTTGCAGGAGAACATTAACCACTAATCTTTTTACATCAACTACCAGACATCAATTTTGGATGGCGAAAGAAGACAGAGGGCCAATTATGATCTCCTTGGATGGCTGTGGCATCGCCAGGGATCAAACTCGCAATCTCCCGACAATAGGGCCAGTTGCCCCACATAGGAGCCCCTGATTATATTATTTTGGATCAGAATTATGTCTCATAAAACTTTATACACAAACAAGACTGGAGGAGGAGTGGAATATAGGGAGAAAAAATACATCTAAGTCAATAGCTCAATATTCTGGCCAAAGAACGAGCGCATACTTCATAGACTAACAGTCCAAAAATCTGCGTGACTGAATCACAGCCTTCATTGATGTCATTTTTACACCCCTATGTTTTAGCACTGCATCTGTGAGAGAAACAAAACGAGAGTGCTGAAGAAGCAGTGTGGGCATGTTTTTATACCATCAAGTCCCAGCTGCTGGCCCTCCACTCGTTTTTTGTAGTCCTCCAGCTCCCTCTCGGTCAGCTCGCTGAAGGGGTTGGGCGGGAGAGGCTCTGCCTGATCCTCATCTCCACCTGTGTATGGCTGAGAGAGACAGCGTGGGGGTAGAGAACAAACAGTTAGACAATACCCACTGGAATAACAGTGCTCTGTCACACACACCTGCTTGATAATCAGGTTCTGTCAAATACAGTCAAACACACAGTTAAAACCAACCAATCAGTCCATCATGCTGTTTTACACAAAACCAAACAAAAATCACCCAACAAAACTTGTTATGCAAGTGAACATTACTTAAGACAAAATAGCTGAAAAAACAATAATGAGGAAAAACAACCAAAGCTAAAAACACTGTACACTTTCACTGCTGCATTCCAAACTTCAGGCTCAACATCAGTGGCAGATATCAAACATGGTCAACTAATAAACATAGTGAACACCATGCAAACGTCCAACATTCACAGGGATTGCTGAAACTGTGTTTGCTAGCAGTGAAAACAGAAAACATTGTACTGTGTCCGAGCACTTTTATTTTTGCAGTATCTAAACTTTGTGCTCTCATAGAACCTCTAGGCCGATAAAAAACACATATTTACATAATTATGATCGTTATGAATTCAAAATAGAAAAAAATTAAATTATTTTTGCAATACAATCCTTATAGGAACCCTAAAGATGGCTCAATGTTTCTGACATGCAAGTTGAAAATCCATCAACATGGAGTTTAGAGCCAGAAAGTTTAGCACTTTTAACCAGAAGATTAAGCATTCTGGTGCACTTTGAGACCAAAATATAGTGAATAAATTACTATAGAAGTATAAGTTCAATCACAAAAAGAAGCCACGTTAAAAATCTGTTCTGCTCTCCAGGTATTTTGATGTATTTGTTAATCTGCTTACCATATCAAGGTTAAAAAGTCTGTGTATGAAACTATGCAGCCATCTTCTAAGACACCTCAACAACAATTATTATTCATAGAGGAAATTCTAAAAACTTGGCCCATCATTTATGTTCTATCTGCTGAAAGGGTTTTTTGGCTCTATAAGAGAGGAGTGCTTGGACCCCTAAGATTGCCACTTGATGCTCACTAAAAGAATAGATAAGGCTCAGCGTGAATGAAAGTGCATGCTAGCTGAAAACAATGCTAAATTGCAGGCTGCAATTATCAGCTATTATTTCAATATTGCAACAAGTATAATAATTCTATCTTTCCATCCATCAGTTCATTTTAGCCAATCATATATGCTAAAGATATACGCTTGATATAGTGCACTCTTACCGAAATCTAAGAGTTCAGTTTCAGCAATTCCCGATTTGAGACTTGGAACACAAGCCTAGTTTAGCCGGACCGCCAAGGCGGCCAGGGGGAGACCACAGTCAGAAACTGTAAACTTCGACCCTCGAGTTTCATAAACAGTACTGACACTTTTTCATGAAAGCTGGATGTAAACATTTATCCACAAACAAAGCCAGTTAACTAAAGTCAGACAACATCTGATTTCTTTATGCAGATGATCTATGTGCATCAATACCCATCAATGATTAAGCGATCATTGAGCCGCTTATTTAGTGTTGCAATATTAACCTACTCCTCTCTCTGTGGTTGTGGCAGCTACAGTAAACAAACACTACTGTTAATACTGTCAGTCCCCAGAGTTCAGACAGTACACTCAACATTCTTGGCTGGTGGCCCGGCAAAAACGAACAAAAGACCCTTCAGTTAGCAGAGTCGTAAAAACAGCCATAAAAACACTGCAAGCAGCATCCAACAAAAATTCTGAAGCCACATTACCTTTGCAGAGGACGGCTCCTTTAAGGCAAAACACAGCCACGTTAGCGCTCGCTCGGTCATTAAGCCACAGTTAGCAGCAACTTAATAAATAATAAAGGCTGCACAAATACAGGGTGATTCAAAAAAGATTCATCAGATTTAAAAGTGCCATATTTTTACAACCGTGAGGCGCCTAGGAACCAATCACAATCCAATTGTAAGAAGAGGAGGGACCCCCTGAGCAGAAAGTGTTTTGTGTTCTCCACTTCAATAAGAGTGAATCCATCATAACGTGATTTTCGTGGGCAGTGAAGCTCCAACAGCTCAGAGCATTCGGCGTTGGTTACACAACACTGGATGATCTCCGAAATCTCACTGAAAGAGCCGTGAGTGCAGCGACACCCGACATGCTCAATCCAGTATGGGATGAGTTTGGCTATGGCGTTGATGTCGTCTGTACAGCTGGAGGAGGTTCATATTGAGCACTTGTACAATTACATAAACTTTATGCTCATTTAAACCATTTACAGTTCACTGCATTGATCTGTAATGATTTACAAGTGAAATAAATCATTCTGAAATCAGGTGAATCTTTTTGGATCACCCTGTATTTAATCGCTATCTCAATAAAGCTCTTTGCAAAACTGATAAGATAAAGTCTGCAACATGCAAATGAGTCTATAACCAATGACGGAAAGTTTTATTGTGCACTGGGAGCATTCTGACCAATCACAGTTGTTCCTTTTGAATTATATTGAGTCACATCTAACAAGCATAAATATTTTCGCTCAAAATAAAGCAGGCCAGTTTACCAATGTCTTTAATATATTGTCAGGCATGCCACAAATGCACTTATAATACTTCACCATATTGAGCAGCCTGTGTTTATTTTTCAGACTTGACTTAACACCAACAACCCTTTGAAATTGCTTCTGAAAGCTGGAGTTTGGCTCCATCTAGCAGAGGACATGAGAACTGCAGGCTCAGAACTTTGTCCCAATCCAGAACTAGCTAAAAGCAAGTGGGAGAAGAGAGTTCTGGGTAATGTAGTGCTTTTAACAGTGCTGCAGTACATACCGGCGGTCTCTCCACGACAATGCCAGCCAGCTTTTGAGACTGCGGTCCAGCAGACATCATGTCATAGCGGTTCTGCTCTCGGATCTGAAAGGGAAAATGGGATCAGCACCACGAGAGAGAAAAAGGTTCAGAATCAATATACACTACATGAGCTAATCAGTACTATATTAGACACCACCAGCTGTTTCTGGAGAGAACCTAACAGGCTCAGGCATGATTTAAAATTCAAAAAGAACTGTCGAAAAGGACAGACGGCTGGAGAAACAGCACAGCAGAAAGAGAGACCTACTTTATTTCTCTTCTCAAGAACCTCACTGGGGTTCGTGTTGAGAGGGACAAACTGGTTGGGGTCTTCGATGCGAATCGGGGTGCCACTGCTGGAGCTGCCGTCTTCAGACTTCATCCACTAAGACAGAGCGAGAAGAAATTCAGGCTTTAATTATAAAGGAACACATCAGATTCTACCCATTTTACAATTTTTTTTTTTCCATAATTCAATGGTTGAGATGGTACCACTTTAAAATAAGGCTTCCCTTATAAAGCACTCATGGATTGTTTAAAATGGGTTTATTAATGGTTACTAATTAGGTTATAAAGACCTTAAAATCATTCATCAGCAGTTACAATAATAGAGAAACCTCATTCATTTATATGTTTAAACCTGATTTTGATGTTTACTGATCTTACTTTGTCTTCTCCATCAGTCAGCATGAAACCGGTCAGCCTCATCACAAATTCTTATCCATCAGATATTACAGCTCAATTTTGCCCTTTTTATTAATGTGGTATAACTGCTTATCAACTAATAACCATTAAGCTCAATATTCATAAACACTTTATGAAGGTAGTCCAAATTTAAATTGGTACCATTAAGATGTAAAGTCATTCAGAGTGCTTTGGTGTGAGGTGGTTCATTATAGAGAAACTTACAGACTCAGATTTGTTTACAGTGGTGCTGACAGGAACCAGGGGTCACAATGTCGACAACACAGATATAGCCATTTTATTTACTATCCAAAACCACCAGTGAACCTACACGAGTCTTTATATGTAATGTTGATGGTAGGAAAGTGCTACTTCTTTAAAAATAATGTATTAAAATAAAAGGTCTTGGGTACTATTTTGATGTATAATACATGCATGTACCTCTCCATCATGTTTGGACTTCAATACTTTGGGTAAAAACTGGGATCAAACTCATTAAAACTACATAAAAAATACAAAAACAAGGTTACATAACAGTTGCATATATACATCTAACTTGTATACATGCAACTGTTTGTATACACCACCACTGTAAAGAAATCCAAATCTGTAAGCTTCTCTACGATGAACCATTTCACATCAAACCACTCTGAATTTACATCTTAACTATTTACTTACGTAGGGATTTTGGAAAATCAATGCAATTCCACTAGAAGCCACTAGAGGGCATCAGTAAACCAGCCTAAATGACATGTGCACACTGACACACTGCCAGACACGCCCACAAACCAGTCTGTGCAGCTGAACAGTTCATGACGGTCCTTCTGGAGACAGCTTTAATGCTTACAAGCACACAAACTCACAACATTCATACTAAGAATGTCCCAAAATTGCATTTTATTTTCGGTTTATATATTTATTTTACAAGTAAATTACACTTGAAGTGACTGCTTAACGTTCAACCTCTGAGCACAATCTCATAAGATGTAGGCCAACCACTTCAAAATGAAACTGCTTCGTCAGTCCTGCTACATTTAGCTCTGCATGCTTAGTTTCACTCTTAACTTACCAATTAGAGTGTAATAAACTAAGCTAACAAACACACTGTCCAAAAGTTTGTAGACACCTGCTAAACCACCATTTCATCTGAAATCAAGGGTGTTACTAGTGAGTCTGTCCTCTCTTTGCAGCAGTAACAGCTTCTAATTTTCAGAGAAGGCTTTACACTGCATGCTGGAACATTGCTGTGAGGATTTGACTGCATTCAGCCACAAGAGCATTAGTGAGGTCAGGTACTGATGTTGGATGATCAGTTCTGGATCATTCCAGCTCATGCTAAAGGTACTGGACAGAGCCCTTTCACTCCCAATGCTGGGAGGCTTTACATCCCTCTCGGTGATGCTTGGCATTGGCCACAGTGACCTAAGGCTCATGTGCTGCCGTTCTATTGGTCAATGTTTTTCTACGGAGCTGTTTGTGCACAGCTAAACTCCTTCTTTAGCAAGAGGTACACCTTAAAAGTAGCTAAGCAGCTAGAGTTTAGTAACTGAGGGGTGTCTGAATACTTATGGTGTCTCTTTGTTAGTAAAGAAACAGAAGGAGTGCATTCAGAGTGTCCTTAATAACATGTACACCAAAACAAAAGCTTCAATTAAGGGTGCAAGCTAAGCTTTGTTGGGTGATTAGTTGACCTGTTGCTGAAAATCAGGCCTTGTGAAAACCTTACCATGGTCCTGACGCGTGCGCTCTCCTCACTGCTCCTGTCAGCCACGTTGACCTTGGTGTAGCAGTTGGGGGAGTTGAGCCAGCGGGTTTTCTCCCTCTGCTGCCGCTGCTGCAGAAGCCTGAAGGGGAGGCGCGGTACCTCGTCCTCGTCGAACGAAAAAGCCGTCACCGTGGCCGGAATCTCCACCTCGCTCTTGTGCCTCGGCTTGTCCCGCACGATCGGGTGCCGATAAGCGTAGCCCGTCCGGTAACCCTGCCGAAGAAAACAGGCAGAGTCAACACATCAGAGGAAGAGTCTCTCAGAGTTCTACACAGCTTCAAAGATAATAAGGAATTAATAATGTTCTCGGCCACCATATTTGGGACCGGATTTCTGGCTTTTCCGAGGCTCACTCACAACAGAGTGCTGTCATTTCAGTGTATTATGGGCCTTTTCATCATAACAGGCATAAAAATCGCTAATAGTATCCTAATCTTTCGGTAGCTAGCTGGCTAAATTTCCTGTTCCACCCTTAATGGTGCAGCAGTTACATTCGGCACCTCAGGCATCAGAACTGCCTGAACAGGAAATTTGAACAAAAAGTTGGCGAATATCTGACTTCAGCTTCATATCTCTGAAGAATTAGGGGTGGGTGATAATAAATAATTGCCCCCCTCTTTGAAGGCATATGATGCCCTAAATGTAACTGAAGCCCAGCAGTGAGGAGCTGAACTTTACCCTCCTCTGCTGTCACTGCAGACTGGCAGGGTCGCCTACAGAGCAGCGCTGGTAGCTGTTAATGAAGTGATGCTCTTTTTATTTGAGGGTCCCATTTCATAGGGAAGACTTCAACCACTACCCCTGTAACTCAGTTCCAAGGGGCAAAAAGGTTCAGTCCACAGATGTGCCACCATTTACCCCTCCAAGGTTCAGCGTTGTGGCTTTCCAATTCAGTCATTAAAGCCTGTGTAATTAGCTGGTGAGTCTAATCAGTAACTGTGTGAATTGTGTATACACTCCCTGCTCTGTGTGGGCCACTCCTCACCTCTACCAAGGAAAAAAGGGGTAAACTGCAGCCTGCAGAGCCGCCCTTACTAGGAACACAGACACAGTTGACTCATCTGAGATGCATCCAGCTGCCTCAGTCTGCTGTTGCTCCCTTGTTTCAGCTCCATGAATGCCGCTATAGTTACAGTCATTATGAGACTGAAGCAGTGCTGCTTTAGCCAAAGTGAAACTGTGTCAGCACACATACCAGGTTGTCCAGCATCCTCATGAGGGACTCGAACTCCAGTTCTCCAATTTTCCACTTGTGCTGGGAGCCCATGTTGACGCCGACCTCAGCCACGCCCTGCGTCCGGGACTTATACTTCTCTAAATCCAACACAATCAGGTTCTCCACTCCACCAGCACAGGAGAACGCATTCACCTACGGAGAGGGAGGAGAGGGGGACGAATAAGGAAAACTATACATACACTTATTACATACATACATAAGAAAAAGGCTTCTAAATGGTTCTTAGCTTGGAGAGATTTGGTAGAGAACCTTTTTTTTGGCAAGTTCAAAAGGTTTTTCACAGTTGCGCATCTCGTTTACTTAAATCTGAAGGTTCTCTAGGGAAGCGAAGTGGTTCTTCCATCGCATTACTCCAAAGAACAGTTATTGGCACCTTCACATTTAACCATGTACATGTGAATGGAATCAAAACGCCTCTCTTCAGCCACATAAACACAGCTGCGGAGTTTATTTTTAGTTGTAGAAACGCAGCAGGCTTAGATATGTACTCTAAAGTTTTGTTTTGCCCCAGAGCTTCGGTTCCAGGCTGGGATTTTGCCTGATTGTTAGCAAAGAGACAAAATTCCCCCAAAATTCTCTAACAAAGCACACGCTTGTGCATTCCTCTGTAGTGAACACACACTGTTTGTGTCTGTTCTTTTAATGTGAGAAATGAGAGGCAGAAAGAAGCGAGAGAGAAAAAGGGAGGTGGGGAAAGAAGTGAGGAAAAGAGCCAGAGAAAAATCTTGGCACTAACACCTCACATTATGCAATGCCCTCATCCATCGTAAGCACTAGAAACAGGACACTAGGGGTGGGCAGTACGAGGCTATGTTATTGTTTATGTGAGAAATGGCATAATAATGAGCTTTTTGAGAATATTATGGGTTATTTTCAGTACATTTAAATCATATCATAAAGAGAAACAATAACTGCAAAGCTTGGTAGCCAAGAGCTTATTTAATTCATTTATTCTTTCCAAACTGTAACTTTTCATCCTTTTCCTATTTTCAAAAAATACTTCATTTTTTACACTGAAATAAGTTTTGATTATTTCCAATATCAGAAAAGCTACGTTCACATTATCAGTCTGAAGTGGCGCAAATCCGATTTTTTTGCCCTAATGTGAATCAGATCTGATGTTTTCTGATCTTTTCAGCTCCGACCTGAGCTTCTTTGGCTGCAATCACATTACAAGCCTCATCTCTCAAATCAGACTTTTTTGCTCAAATCTCTCTGACGCGATGGTTCACACTCGTTTAGGTAAGTGACTCAAATCTGTCATTAATGTGACGAACCGGCGTCCTGAAATGACCCTCATGAGCTCATCCTACTCAGTAACGTCACGTGAATGAATCACATTCATCATCAGCACAAACTAACGAGCAGAACGAGCTTTGCTGAGAAGATCATTAACTCTGATCAGCTCTCAGCTTCATTATTAGAGCGAGACGAAGGAGAAAAAGGTGAGATGAGCTGCTTTTCCACCGTTTACAGGATTTCACTTCTGTTCGGCGCTGTTGCCATGGTAACGCTGAATGACGGTCACGCGCAGTGAAAAAAAGCACATGAATTCCGATCTGAGCGTCACATTAAGGTCACGTGGCCACAAATCGGGTACGTACCCATATGTTCTAGGACCACATATGAAAGTGGCTCAGGTCGGATTTGAAAAGATCAGATTTGTCCACACAGCTCTGAAAACATCAGATCTGAGTCACATTAGGGCAAAAAATTGGATTTGTGCCATTTTAACCTGTCCTAGATCGGATACGTATCCGATTCATGGCCATGCGACCTTAATGTAACACTCAGATCAGAATTCATGTGCTTTTTTCCCCACATCACAAGATGATGTTATATTTTTGCCATGTTGTGTTGGGTGCCTAACCTGGATCTCGCAGGCAAGCTGGGCAGTATAAATGTAGTGGAAGGCCTCTTCAATGGTCTCCCCCAAAGCCACCACACCGTGGTTCCTCAGAACCAGCACCTGCAAAACACAGACACACGGTTTTCACTTGCACCTTAACATCTAGCGCATAAAACAGAGTGTTTCCTTTACTTACTGAGATATTGCAAGTCGTGCAATATAAGAACTGAATAAATATTTGAGCATATCTGTATCAACGGGTATGAGAAGGTATTGGATTAGATATGAGAGGGGAAAAAGAGAACGGATGTGATTTAATACTGTAACAAATCTGTCGTGAAATAGCACTCGCACTGTATAGTGTTTGAGGAGTTTGAGGATTCTAGACAACTTTTACATGTTCATCTTAAGTTAAGCAGATTTTAGAAGATCTAATACTGAACTGTATAATAATGACCGATGCTCAGCTTTTACAGAGTTACTGGTACTGAAAAAGGAACAAAGTGGCCATCTGGTGCCATCTCTGGTAAAAATACATAAAATCGGTGTGTGAAAGGAAGAATTTCAATTCTAAAGACCAAAAAAATCTGGATTACAAGTGAATAAAAAATAGTCAGCCCTAAACCGAAGCACATGTAGACGCACTACTTCTTGTTTGTGTACCTTAGCTGAAGGGCCGAGCGCTTTCTGGAGCTCCACTCTCTCCTCATGTTCGTCCAGGCTGCCCTGGTAGTTTAAGTAGGCGACATCCCCCAGAATCAGGGACTCCTGAGAGATGGGCAGCAGACCACACTTCATAGACGAAACCTAAAGGGAGATGGAGAGACACCTCATGAAACGAGAGCAGGGCGAAACAACACTGCCTTCAGAACGGCGTCGAATATGAGTTCTTGACCAAAAAGTCCACCTTCAGTTGTTTAGCATGGTGGAGGGTGGAGGGCAGTGAGTTCTCTACTTTTCTAAATGAAACGTATTTTTAACTGTCACTGAATGAGCATTTGCTTACATCTGTAACTACCAGTTAAGGGAGAAAACGTTAAGCCGCTTTCACACTTTTGAGTGGGAGTTCAATGGAAATGAAACAGGAAGGGAACATCTGACGGTCAGCAACAGTCCAGGGCTACTCACGGCTGCTGCAGCGGGGGTGTGTATGTGGATGATGCAGCGCACGTCTGGCCTCATGGAGTAGATGGCAGCGTGAGGGCTGAACCCGGCCGGATCGATCCGCAGGTTAGTGGACCCCTGATCCACCACATCACCCAGAATGTTCACCTTCACCTACAGAGAGAGAGACACAGAGAGAGAAACAGAGAGAGAGAGAGAGACAGAGAAATGGGGGGATATTAGTGAGTTATTCCCACTGTTCTAATGAAGCGCTGCAGACCACCAGCACTCTATCAGAAATTATCTCTCAGGATACAAACACAGAGGAAATCACAGTTAATTGGGACATTACTGCGCTAATTAGCCATGATGCTTCCTTGCTGGTGGGCTGATTAGGGGGCTTATCAGGTTTAGCCACCCACAGACTACAGCACAGAGCTTCATACACATCCACGACCAGCTTTATTTAACCTAAGAGTGAAGCTAATGACAGAGAAACAGCAACAACTGATCTCAGATCAGCTCTGGACGGAAGGGCAGTCAGTGGGTCAGAGCTGTGAGAGCTGTTGTGAGATCCAGAGGAGAGATGATGGAAAAAGTGGACGGAAAATATTCCTCCTTTAGAGCTGAATGTGCTGTAGTTTAGTTTAAAGCTGTTCTATAAATACGTCCTGCAGAGACTGAACATTCAACAACGTACAGACACGCCCTTCATAAATCACCCAGCCAACGAGAGAGAGAGAGAGAGAGAGAGACAGACAGACAGACAGGAAGACAGACAGAAAGACAGACAGAAAGACAGACAGAAAGACAGACAGAAAGACAGGTGGTGGTATAGAAGGAGAAAAATTAAGAAAGAAAGAGCAAGAAAGAAAGAGAAAGGGGGAAAGAAAAGGAAAAAGCGAAAGACAGGAAAAAAGAGCAAGAGGGTATGAGAAAGAAAGAAAGAAAGAAAGAAAGAAGGTGAGAAAGTGAAAGAAAAGAAAGAGGGTGATAAAGATTAAAAGAAAGAAAAGAGAAAAGAGAGCGAGAAAGAAAAAGCGGAGGAAAGACAAAGAGAACAAGAAACACAGAAAGAATAAAGACAGAAGGGATGAGAGAAGGAAGACAAAGGAGTAAACAGAAAAGTAAGAGAAAAAAGAGAGGGTGACAAAGATTAAAAAGAAAGGAGAAAAAAGAAAGAAAAGTGGTGGAAAGAGACAGAAAGAGAACAAAAAAGAGAGAAAGAAAGAAAGAATAGAGAGAAAAGGGGTGAGAGCAGGAAGACAGAAAGGAGGTAAGACAGAAAGTGAGAGAAAGAAAGAGGGAGAGAGACGGAGATGAAAAACAGGGGAAAAAAAAGAAAAGGAGGGAAGAAAGAAAGTGAGAGAACAAGAAAAAGAAAGAAAGAGATAAAGATGAAAAGAAAAACAAAAAACAAGAAAGAAAAAGTGGAGGGAAGAAAAGTAAAAGAACAAGAAAGACAAAGAAAGTGATAAAAATGACAAGAAGGAAAAAGTGAAAGACAGAAAAAGAAAAAGCCACCGATAAAGATGAAAATAAAGAACAGAGAAAAAAAGCAAGAAAGAAAAAGTGGAAGGATGAGAGAGAGAAACAGAACAAGAAAGAAAGAAAACGAATAAAGAGAGAAGGGGTGAGAGGAGGAAGATAAAAAGGAGGAAAGAAGGAGAAAGTGAGAAAAAGAGAGGGTGATGAGAGATGGAGAGAGATAAGAAAGAATGGAGAGAGATGAAAACGAAAGAGCAACAGCAAGAAAAAGCGAGACTGAGAGCGAGCGAGCGAGCGAGAGAGAGAGAATCAGACAGTGTGTCAGAGCTCAGTGACGTCTCTATAGAGAACCTACTGAATGCTGAGTCTCATTAACACTAACAGACCCCCGACCCGCCCCTCACAGTCCGTCAATACCTCATCAATAACCATCCGCTGCCCTCAGAGCCACAGCTGGAGCTGCAGGCCGTTCTCAGAGCTGCAGCGCTCGGTTACGTAACGAAGCAGATCATGTGCTTTAAAGATGAACAGTCCTGCAGTTGAGCTGCCTCAGGCCTCGGGCTCATAACGGCCCGATAGCAGGACCTGATTAGAGGCTCCTCTCCTCCTCGGGGCGACCGGGACCCGACACCAGCGCAGTTTCAGCTAACTGTTATATCAGACCCCCACACGTCTCAGATACCGGGAACCAGGATTTTAGAGGGATCGAGTTCTTCTTCACACAACAATGTGAAACTGATGAGGCTGCAATGCTGCGACTACATAACACAACGGATAATATTAAATACCAGCTTTAGGCCACAATGTCCCTTTAATGTGGCTAAGAGAATGAACTGCAAATATGCAGGTGTGTATATCCGCACACACGCTGTACGCTTTAGGGCAGAGGTCACTAATAGGCGGACCGCAGTCCGAGTCCGGACCCAGACGCTGTCGTGGACCTTTAACCGGCAAACTATGGAGAATGGTTTAATTTCGACGGGGTGGTCCCATTTTAACTGTTGCAACTTTTCTAGCCTTTACGGTAGTTTTAGTGGCCCCTGAGACTCACAGACCAATCGCATGCGTTGTAAATATGACACATGACGCTACTCAGCCAATCAGATCTGTGCATTACGATTAGCACTGAGACTCGAGTGAGTGACGCACACACAGAGGAGGGACGAGGCGAGAAACAGCAGTCAGAGAAGAAAGTGAGTCAGAGGGAAGTTGTTTTACATGGCTGCTCTAAAAAGAGAAAACTGACAAATGTTGTTGAAATATGACTGAATTGGACTTTATTTGATTTGATATTCAGTTGTTGACTGTATAAGATGTTGATATACCTGCTAGGCTACTTCAGTAAACAGTATATGGCACTGAATCATGATGCAACTTAGACATTATGATGTTCTGGACCTTTGCTTGAGGAAATTTCCTCTAACTGGAGCTTATTGAATTGTAATTAAATATCCCTGATTTAGGGTAATGAAAAAATGCTTATGGAAGAAAAGGGGAGAAAAAAAAACAAACAAACAAAAAAAAAACAACAAAAACATCAGCAAAACTAGCTGGAAAGAAATCAGAGTAAAGGCCAATCCTGCATCCATTCACACTTAAAAACACAGTGATTCAAGCGATCAAGCTCAACACTAACAACAAAAGAACGCTTTTGGGTGCTATATAGAACCATTTACAAAACGGTTCTATATGGAGAACGTGCTGTAGATAGTTCTATATAGAACTGTCTCAGAAAGGGTTCTACTTAGCACCCTTTTATTGTATCAAGCTTGACAGCATGACAATAGAAGAACACTTCTGGGTGCTATATATAACCATTTTCAAAAAGGTTCTATTTGGAGAATGTGCTGTAGACGGTTCTATATAAAACGTTTTTAAAAAGGGTTCCATTTAGCACCCAAAAGGGTTTCTTCTATTGTTACAAACTTGACAGCATAACAATAGAAGAATGCTTTTGGGTGCTATATATAACCATTTTCAAAAAAGGTTCTATATGGAGAATGTGCTGTAGATGGTTCTATATAGAACCTTTTTTTGAAAGGGTTCTATACAGCACCCAAAAGGGTTGTTCTATTGTATCAAGCTTAACACCGTAACAACAGAAGAACGCTTCTGGGTGCTACATAAAACCATCTGCAAAAAGGTTCTACATGGAGAACGTGCCATAGATGGTTCTATAAAAGAACCTTTTTATAAAGGTTTCTTCTATTGTTAAGCTTGAGAGCATAACAGAAGAACGCTTTTGGGCGCTATACAGAACGATTTACAAAAAGCTTCTATATGAAGAATGTGCTGTAGATGGGTCCATGTAGAACCTTTTTGAAAAGGGTTCCATTTAGTGCCCAAAAAGTAACAAAAGAAAAACGCTTCTGGGCACTATACAGAACCATTTTCAAAGAGGTTCTACATAGAACCATCTACAGCACATTCTCCATCAATCTGACGAACACTTTCATGATGCAATGAACCCCTTAATCATGCAGCGGGTTCTTTAAGTGTTCCTGGTTCTATATAGAACCATCTTCTTTACTGAAGAACCCTTGGATCACCATCTTTAATAGTGAACTCTTACTCTGCACAGCTCTAAACAGTAGCAGCCGAGTTGAAGCCTGAACACTGTCAGCACACTGCAGCGCTGAAGAGCACCTGCCTGGCCTTCAGCCAACACTGCAGACCCGAGCTCAGCCAAACAGGTTCTTCTCCACGCAGAACACAAATAAGAGTATGAAGTCTGAAGAGGCCTTCACGAGGGGGAGTGTGTATGTACAGTATATTAGCATGGGTTCCCTCAGCTTCCCGCAGTCGTCCTCTACTTCACCTCCGCTTGCAGACGGCGTGGAGAACACCGCATGCCAAAGTTCCACTCTGAACCCAAAACGACCTCTCGCCGTCTGCCTCGCGCTCTCAACCACCCGGATCTACCCACACCAGGCCAAGAGCTGCTGTCAAAACATCAGATAGGGATCTCAGCAGCGCTCATGAGCAGTGGTGGAGATGGTGAGTACACATTCACAGTTCTCTTTTGTTTACACGCTTAAAAACGATGGTTCTTCAATGGTTCTTCAGTAAAGAGAACGTTGGTCTCACTTTATTTGGACAGTCCAGTATAGTCCCCTATAGATCATCTACAGATGTTCAGCTGTTAAACTATCTGTGAAACTCAGCTGATTCTAAACAGTGGTGGGGTTAGGGTTAGGATTTGGACCAGGGTGAGGGTTGGGTTTAGGTTTTGGGTTTAGGTTTTAGGTTCGGGTTAGAGCCAGGTTTAAAGAAAATGGTCAATTTAGTGGATATTTAGCTGAATGTTACCTGAAAGTCTATTAAGTATCTATAAAGCATCTAAAGTGGACTATCCAAATAAAGTGTTAACAAAACGTTTATACAGAACCATGAACATGCACGACTGAAGGGAACCATTTTCTTTACTAAAGAACACTTGAAGACCCATTATTTTTTAAGTGTGTAGGCCTTCCGGAAGGGAAAAAAGAAAAGAAAGAACGCAATGAGCTCCAGTTGGTGCATGCGTCATTTTCCCCATCATAAAATGTGTTTTTTTTTTGTTTATTTTATGTCTATTCTTGTAGATGTGCTAGTACCAAATGTTTCTGATAGGTGCAATGGATTAAAATGCTATTCTCCTAACACACAATGATTACAGCATACATACAGAAATACAGCGAAAACAA